AATATCCCATGATAACTTCAAATACACAGACTTGTAGACTCTTATGTTGTGAAGGGACCTCAAAGAACACCTCATCCAGTTTCCAGTTCAAAGCATGAATCCCATCATGGTACTGGCAATCCAGACTGGTCAGTGTACTCCAAGCCATGGCTCAGAGGGATGGTTGAAGTTTTTGATTTATTCTGACTCATTCTCAAGTCCCTTAAGCTGAAAATAGCTAGGGGTGAAGATGGGGGTTGCTGCTGAGTCTGACTGGATGTCTTTAACTGGTTTTCCCCCTCCCCAAACAGAAGTCCTTTTTTTTTTTTTTTTTTTAACATCTTTGGGTAGCCACCCCCAGATTGGCTTGGGAGGCTCCCAGAGTGTAATTAACTTAACCCCAGGGCACTGTCTGGAATGTCCTTTTTACCATTCTAGATCTATAGAAGAGTTCGATTCGTGGACATGATCCACCCATCTCTACAGTCCCTAGGCCTCCCCTGGCCTTATGTTCAAAATGCAAGTGACTGCTGGCCAATTGGAGGTTATGGCAGCTTTCAGTTCAGTTCAGTTGCTCAGTCGTGTCCGACTCTGCGACCCCATGGACTGCAGGACACCAGGCCTCCCTGTCCATCCCTGACTCCTGGAGTTTACTCAAACTCATGTCCATTGAGTCGGTGATGCCATCCAACCATCTCGTCCTCTGTCGCCCCCTTCTCCTCCAGCCCTCAATCTTTTCCATCATCAGGGTCTTTTCGATTGAGTCAGTTCTTCGCATCAGGTGGCCAAAGTCCAGCAAATCCAAGAATTTTAGAAATTCTTAAAGATCATTTGGCTTAGTCCTTTTATTTTGCAAATGAGGAAACTGAAGCCCAGAGTGAGAATTCTATCATCTTTGATTTAGAGGGCATTGTATAAGTCATCCAATCTGACCTCTCCATATCTTCTTACAGTCTTGGAATCTCTCCCCCAACATGTCTAATACCTGGTATCCAGGGGATGATACTGGGGAACTTATCACCTCTGAAGAGAACCCATTCTAATATAGGACAGCTCTAATTAAAAGGGACTAACTTAATTGAAATCTACATCCCTATAACTTTTATCTTCCCAGTGGTTCTAATTTAATTCCTCTCCTATGTAACATCCCTGAAGGTAAGACCTTCTCAAACCCCCAAATTAGCAAATATCACTATAGCGTATAATTTTTCTAATCAAAGTAAAGTATAACTGAAAAAGAACTTTTACTGATTCTATAAAGACAAGACATTCCACTTTTCATGTGTCCAAAACTTCTTTTTCTAGCTAAGAATGACTACTTTCTTGGTTTTCTTCAACTGTTCCTTCATTACTGGCACTAGCATTTAGTTCTTTTCATAGTTCTTTTATTTAAAAAATTTTTTTATAAATGGCAAGATCTCAGTTTCCTGATCAGGGATTGCAACCAGGCCACAGCAGTGACAGCGCCAAATCCTAACCACTAGGCAACCAGGGAACTCCCTCATAATATGTTTAATAAAGAAACATACATTTATCACTTTGTACAAAACAATCAGGGGAGAGCTACAGATAGGGCTGAAGGATTGGACTCACCCTCGCAAACTGTCTGTGGTTTCTCAGTTCTTATTTGCTAGCTGTGGTGGGCCTCTCCATTCTATTGTTTCCTTCTCATCCTGGGAAGAGTTTCCCAACTGGTCTTCTTACCTCCAGTCTTCTGCCCAAATACAGCTTCCTACTTCTGTTAGAATGATTTGTCTAAAAATGCAGATTTGACCATGTCACTTCCTTAATTTAGTGGTTCCTCAACACCCAGTGCTCCAATTTTCCACTAAATGACTACTGATGATCGAGGAGCTTTTCTCAACTGAATTCCCATGAGGACATTAAGCCCTAATGCCATTAGGCATCCATTGTATATAATGCATTAGCTTCTCTCCAGTGCATCTGGAATGGTACTAGTTGTTTACACCCTTGATGAGAATGGAGAAAACAGTCACTCTAATCCTTTTCTCTGTTCTATGGGTCAGATGAGGAACCCATTGTAAAAGAGTAGAGGAGAGCGAATGTATGTTCTTCAAGAGATCCAGCAACATGGCTGGGAGCAGTTTCCAGAAAAAGAACTCACAAATTTCATTGATGTCTAGGGTTTCATCTTTAAATTTATGTGAATACTGCGTTCTACTACATAATATGTCCATTGTTAAAAGTGTTTCAAAATATTTGTCAGTGAATAAAATTGACTTTACAGGAGGATTTGCCTCAGGTCTGTTGAACTAAAAATAACTACCTTTTTTTCTTAGCCCTGTAGTGGACATTTTATATATGTTACATTATTTAATGTCTCTAGGAAAATTGCCCAAGATCACACAGCTAGTAAGGTGTCAAGACTCAGGGCACTAAGCCAAGTATGTCTCAACTCCACAACTTAAAGCTGAGTTGAGTCAAGACCCTTGGAAGTCTTTGCCTCATTTCCAAGTTTATGTTCACTGGAATGTAGGATTTCTTTCTTGGTTAAGTTAGTATTTTGGTTCAGATTGTGCATAATTCCATACTTCTTTTGCAGAAAAGTGAGCAGTGATGTGGGTAATTCCATTTAATAAGGAATCTTGTCTTTCTTTGGTGACTCTGAAACATGTAAAAGGACTTTTTTTTTAGTAGGAGATTCACTTTTCCATTTCTTTTGTCTTTATGGATATTGAATACTGAAATTTTTTGATTACTCTAGCTCGATGTGGGAGCTGGGTTTTTTTGGCAAGACGTAGCTAGCTATCTTGGTATTGAAAACTTGCTCCCCCTGCCACCTCCGGATGACACAGGGTTGACTCCATTTGTGTCTTCTTACCCAAGGAACTTGGGAAAACATAAATGCTAAAGTACCAAGGTGTTAAGAGTGGCTTCCCCAGCTTCACCCCCATCTGACATTTACCTAGTTATTTGGAATCCAGTTTCCATTAGGTGTCCAAAGAAAATGTCTGGAATGCCCTGTCAGTAGCCATTCGACACAGAATTTCAAGGGCATCTGGCTCCTGTAGCTCCTCTAAGACGCTGGAACAAGTTCTGAAATGATTGCTCAGGGTGGGAGCCATAGGGGCTATTTTCAGTCATCTTTTGCTGTACCCTGAATTTCTGGTTCTTCTGGCAAGCTTGAAATTTTGGGAATCTGAGGCCATCCAGAGGATGCAGAGCCCTGTGAGCTTCTTTTATTTGTAACCCCTTGTCTCCTTTTCTGTTCTAAACTCTTTTTCAGTTTGAGTTAGTTACTGAAGCTTGCATGTTAGTACCCAATACCCTTTACATTTATGTAAAAGAGGAGAATCGCTAGACTGGAAGGGAAAGTCCAGAGTTTGGATTAGAAAATATGTTGAATCAAAGGGGAAGTTAGCTGAGGAACAGAATGAAAATTATTTCCTTAGACAGTAGACAAATATTCAGGAAACACCTCTGCACCCCAAAGATAGGCCCAGCTGCCACACAGTGACTATTAAAGGGAGGTTCAAAGTTATGAGCAAACAGCTGATTCTCTTGGTTCTTGGGCTGTTGCTGTTGGTGACAGGAAATCTTGTTCCCCAAGCTGCTGGCTTCCTGTTTTATTTTTACTCTTAGCAGATCAGAATGTCCATAACAAGGAGCAGTCTGTTCCAAAGGGTTCTACTCCCTCTTTGAGCTGAAGGGCTTTTTTTTCTTTTGGTCAGACAATATGTTGGTTCACTTTTAAGTTCTATGATGTATAGCTTGCTTTAAGCATTTTGTGTTCACAATCAACTTTTTTGGTGATGAACTGGTGTTTTAAGATTCAATGTAAGTAAACCTCTGTGGATTTGTTTTTGTGTGTGCGTGTTTGTATTTTTTTAAGAGGTGTTTGCAGTCTTGGGGACTTGAGTATATTACCTTTATGCTTTACCATTTAATTTGCCATTTTCCCTAGCACAAAAACCTTTAGGCTGCTTTAGATTTCTTTAGTTTCACAAGATAGGTAAACAGTTCCAGCCCGGTGTGCCTTGGCTATATTCATATCCATTTTGTTGGATAAAAAACCTTCTCCTGTCCTTGTAAAGTTAGGAATTTGGTAATCTAACTCTGAAACAATAGCTCAGCGTGAACCTAAAGTGCTGGGGGATTTCCTAGGGAAAGGGGCTTAGCTGACAGGATAAGAAACCGTAACTGGAAGGTTTCCGGATCTGCTCCAGACACTTCCTGCTGTCTCATGAGCCTTTTGGGCCAGGTGTGTTGAACCGGAAGGGAGAGAGAAAGGGAGCTGTGAGTAGAAGAGAAAGGACTAGGGAATCTTACAGCACAGTGTGCTTGGCATCATGTTTGATATATTCAACATGTAAAATTTTCCTTGGTATTCTTTCATTCTGTCAATTTTACAGACTGAACTTTGGTAGTCTTAATAGATACTGACAGTATTTAGTTGTACATAAGAGTCCTCCATCAGGGAAGAACTGGAGAAGTTATGTCCTGATGTAGATCAGTGGAATCACTTGGCAATGTAATTTCATTGTGGAAACTATTAGATGACAGAAGCTCATTTTTGATTCTTATAATTGATCATCTGAAATCTGATCTGTTCTAATTGTGGACACCCCCAGGTTAGGATCTATACCTTCCAGGACCTGCTGAATGGGCTGTTTTCTGACCGTGCGTCCCTGCCTCTAGAGACTTTAGTTAGCTGGAGCATACTTGTTATTTTAGGGTTTTTAGGTTTTTATGCTGCCTGTGTACCCTCAGCCAGCAGTCACCAGTTCAGAATTTCTAAACTTATCCAGTGAGGCTCTAATAGCAAACCTGTAAAAGGGGGGTGTGATGGCGGGGGGAGGTTAAAACAGTAAAAAAATTAAAAAAAAGAGAGAGATAGAGGGAGAGATTTTTAGAAGCTGTTTAGATCAGAGCAAGACAAAAGGGAAAACGACTAACACAGCCTTGGTGTGCCTGGAATTTGTGGTTGAGTAATACTTTCCTGTTATTTCTTTTTTAGGTTGTTTTTCATCATTCAGAACATTGCCTGAAGCAGGTCCACCATGCCGTTAGTAACGAGGAACATCGAGCCAAGGCACCTGTGCCGTCAGACGCTGCCTAGCGTTAGGAGTGAGCTGGAATGCATGACCAACATCACCCTGGCAAATGTCATCCGACAGCTGGGCAGCCTGAGTGAGTGCCGCAGAGAGCCTGTGCTTTGCCCTCAGGGGTCGTTGGTGCTCTTTATTTCCTCCCCTTCTCCTCCGTGTTCCTATTTCTCCCCCATCTGCCTTCCCTAGGTAGTGCGAAAATTTATCCCACCCTCACCCCTCCCCACAGAGAGGCTTCTTTTTATACATATTCTTCCCCTCAACCCTTTCTTCATCTACCACCACCCTCTAGGTTCCCTCCACCTCCCCCTCCACCTGCTTCAAAAGAAATCTGTGGGAAGGGTGGCAGGAAGGGCTGCAGCAGAAACTGCAGATGGAATGACAGAGCAGAATTCTCTGTGTAAAGTGGGAGGTTCACAGAGCAGTATCTTGGGTTGGGGAATGTGCCTGTAATTGCACAAGCTATTCCATGTAGCCTGACTTTGTTGACGCCTCAAATGTACCAATAGTCTTTATCTACCCTCCCCCTCCCACCTTTCTTCACAAAGAGGAGTAAAGCAAACATGCATTCAGAGAGATTCTGGCTGACTTGTCTACCCTGGTACACATTTAATCGTGCTGCAAGCCCCCAGGTCCAAGTTCAGGGTACAAATTACTTCTGTAGTCCCTGGGGTATTGGGAGTTTTGCAAGCTGTGTGAACACAGTGACACAGATTGTAGCTGGAGCCATTCTTCTCTAGGAGGAAGATGGGGGTTAACCTAGTCTATTTTGAAGCTGAGGGAAAGCCAGCTCAACTGTAATTTCTTTTTTTTTTAATTGATAAGAATGAATGAGACCGCCTTGAGTGAGGTACATGCTTGGGTTTGGATTTCATTCTGAATTGAGTGGATTTTGTTTACTTGGAGCCGAGATATGGGAAAGGCAGATGTTTGGATAGGCTCTGCATTTGTCTAGTGCCATTCTGGCTTTCATAAGAACCTCTGTCAAAATGCCATTTTAGTGATCTTCCTTAGCAAAAGAATCTTAGTGTGAATTATTTCAGACATTTAACCCTCCTGTCGCATCACTGCCTTTCATGAAAGCAGTGTAATATCAAGAAAGCCTGCATCCCACCCCCCCACCCCACCCCCCGCCCACCGATAGTAATAGCCCCTGCCTTGGAATTAGGGGCCTGAGGAGATAGAGGCCTGTGACCAGATGATGTATGGAGTCTGAGATTCCTAAGCCGTCACCCAGCTCAGAGGCCATCTCAGTTGATCCAGGGCTTAGGGAAACCTGGATGGGGCGTCAGGAAAGAAATGAAGGCCTGCCAGTGTCTGTCTTACACAAAGGAACGTTGACAGCAGTGCCGGAGCAGTACGGCTGACAGGGAAGCACATGAAGACTGCAGAGAGCCTCACTGCTTCTTAAAAGCATCGTTTCTGCTCTGTCACCCTGAGAAGGCCAAATGGGTGGAAGTCAGTCACACGCGGGTTCCTTCTCTATAGGACAAAGGATATCTAGCTAATGATGCGTCGTCTTCTCTCTCAGCAGGAGTTGTGGTCTCTCTCAGGTGTTTCTCCAGGGTAGTGTTGCTGGATGCCATTGCTTGTGATCTCCCACTTGTGATCAGGCCACTCATATCTTGAGGAAGCTCATCTGAGGGCAAGGGTTGGCCTGTGTTTATAGAAACAAGATTTTCTCACATTGTAGAACTAGCTGACCATTTATTCATCCAGTAAACATGTATTGAACATATTTTATGTGCCAGATGCTGAGAGGATACAGCAATAATAAGAAGTGGTCTCTGCCTTCTAGGAGCTCATAATCTACCAGAGGAGAAAGAAAGAAATAAGGGGAGAATGAGAGAGGGTGAGAAGAGATCTCATATTTGTTGATTGCCTCCTTTATGCCAGGTTTTAATAGGGTCTTGACATATAGACTATGTAATTTAATCTTCTTAATAATCCTTTGAGGTTAGATGTTGGCATTCCTGTTTTTCAGGTGAAGAAACGAAGGCTCAAAAAAGTAAGGTAACTTGCCTGCAGATTCAGTAGCCAGTGAGAGGCAAAGTCAGACTTCCTAAGAATTTCTGAGCTTGTCCCCTGGCTCCCTGTCTCTCCCAGGACTGCCCTGTGTTAGACCTTTGCTGTGCCGTACTAAGTCTCTTCAGTCATATCTGACTCTTTGCGACCCTGTGGACTGTAGCCTGCCAGGCTCCTCTGTCCCAAGGATTCTCCGGGCAGGAATACTGGAGTGGGTTGCTGTGCCATTCTCCAAGGGATCTTCCCGACACAGGGATCTAAACCACGTCTCCTGCAGCTCCTGCATTGTAGGCAGATTCTTTACCGCTGAGCCACCAGGGCAGCCCAATTGAACACTCACTAAATGATTCTTAGCCCACCTCTGGCCTCCCTTTCTCTGATCAAGCCCTTTAAACTGTAAACCTAAAAATTGTGTAAAATCTTTTAAATCTTAAACTTATATACTCTTGCCAGAGTGGTCTGCCCAAACTAAAATCTGACTTTTTACTTCATGATTCTGAATTGTTTGAATTTTTAAAAGTTAACTCTGTGTTAACTTTTGCAATTTAAAAAATGTTTTTAAAATAAGAGCATAAATGTTAGCTATGTATTTTATCTCCCATCTTCCTCACTATGGAATTATTTAATTTTAAATTCCTTCGCTTGGCATTCAAGACTTTAAGACCTACCTTTCTTTTCAGCCTCATTTTCTGCAATCCATCTTCTCCCATTTTACAATCTTTTTAAGAGATTCTTTTAAAATTAAAAAAGGAAAAAAGAAGGGGGGAGAGGAATAAGGAAGAATAGATGAATTGCCAACTACTCATAGCTTCTGAGACAGACCATATACTCTTCAGACTTTCGCACGGTGCCTCTGTTGTTCCCGCTGCTAGAGAGCCCTTGCCATCTTTGTAGCAGATCTTTGAGATCCTATTACTTGCCTGTATTATTACCTGCCACATTATATTGAAAATTATCTGTGTCTCCTATACTAAACTAAAAGGTTTTTGAAGGCAGAAATCATGTGTTGTTTTCTTGAACCCCAGTGTCTATCGTGTATAGTACTCGGCACCCGTAGGAGCTCAGTAAGTGTTTGTTAGATGATTCGTGCTTCTGTGCTTCCCGCCCTTCCATGCTGCCAGTGCGCGGGGAATACAGGGAAAGGAGGAGTCTTTCCTGTGGGGAGTGGGAACATAGCAGGAATAGGGAGAGTCGAGAAAGCTTCACAGAAGAGGTTATGTATGAAGCGAACCTTGAAAGATGACTGGGATTACATCCAGCAGAGGGGGTGCAGGAATGGGCTCCTGTGTACTTCAGGCCCATGACCTTGACCTCGTGTATTATATACTCTAGCTGGAAGTGCCTGGTCTAGTAGGGAAAGTCTGATTATGGAATGCATGAAGCACAAAACTAAAAATTTCACAGCCATGGATTGCTCCCTGATAGCATATCCAGAATTCTTATTTTCCCTCAGGGCAGTAAGATTGGCGTTTCACATATTAGGTTGCCATGTCTTAGAAAATGTGGGCCCAGCCAGCCAACCAGTGCTTCTGAATCGGTATTCTGACCACCTAGGAGAATGGAACCTCCTCTTGGGTCTTTAAAAAGATTTGTTTTTCGTTTGAAAAATTCTACTGCTAAGGTATCTTTTGCAGAATGAGATAGATGTCTATTACAAATGTCCTGATTTGATAGTAGATCTGTCTTGGTAATCTGAATGAGTGAAATTTAACTCTGAACAAGATATTTAAGCATCACACTCCTGTTTTCAGAGGTTGGAGTACTTTTTAGTACTTATAGAGCAGGGCTATCACATTACCAACTGGAATTATATTTTAAATTGGAAGATCCCCTGGAGAATGGAATGGCTACCCGCTCCAGTATTCTGGACTGGAGAATTCCATGGACTGTGTAGTCTATGGGGTTGCAAAGAGTCGGACACAACTGAGCGAATTTCATTTTCATTTTCAAGCATAAGTCTTAAGATACTGAGATATTGAGACTCTTAAAAGTCATCAGTATAAGGAAGAATCTCAAATATATAACTGTTTACGTTTTGGGCTCATTTAGTCCTGTGACAACTTGGTGTGATGGATACAGTTGTCCCCATTTCACAGATGATGAAACTGAGGCTGAGAAGAGCCTTGGTGAAGAGTCAGTAAGACAAGTATAGAGAGAAAGAACTGAAGACTTTCTGGTTTGACGACTGTTCCTTCTTCCATGTATTATCTTGAGTTCTGAGTATGGTTAAGTCCTGACCTAACTTGACAATGGGGAAGCCTTTACGCCCCTCATTGCCCCATCAAGTAGCCTTCTCAGTGTCACCATTTTTGTATGGTGGAGTTCTTTGTGTGATTTTTATCTTAACTCACTGAGCTCTGCTCCTGCCGTCACTGCGCCTGTCCTGAGGAGCACGGCAGGTCCCGGGCACTTCCTTTCGGTGATCTAAGGGGGAGTTGACTTGGGTTTTCTTTTCCTCCAGGAGAGTTGGTTGGTTAACAGATATTTTTGAGCCCGGTTTATTTTCCATACTAATGTTGTGTGTTTCTCAGTCAGTTTTTCATTACCTAGGTAAGCATGATACAGTATGGCTTTTGTTTTTTGTCTTTTTGAATATAGTTGATTTACAATATTATATGTGTCAGGTGTGCAACATAGTACACAATTGTCAAAGGTTATATTCCATTTATAGTTATTATAAAATGTTGGCTATATTCCCTGTGCTCTACAATATATCCTTATAGCTTTTTGAATTTATTTTTTACCTAGTAGTTTGTACCTCTTAATCCAGTAGCCCATCTTGTCCCTTTCCTCTTCCCTCTCTCCCCTAGTTTGTTCTCTGTATCTGTGAGTCAATACAGTATGATTCTTATAGGAACTTAGCCGTTTTATGGACAGGGATCAGATAGGAATCTTCAACCTGCACAGTGGAAATGCAATTTGTTAGCCAGTTTGAGTCCTTTGAGCTCAGGGCTTCCCATCGTTGTTTAGATCACAGAACCATTCAGTATGCAAAGACTTGCTGCTTCCTTGATTAGAAACTTCTTATTGACTAAATTTACTAGCAATCCAGAATATGCTGTTGATTGGTCTTATGCTTACTCTTCAGGTTACACCAGGAAGGTGAGTGAGCTGCAGTTCACCCTGAAGGTGAAGTTTTGGCCTTTGAACTAATTTTTTCCCCCTCGGGTGTGGACTAAGCATAAATGTAGTTTAGAAGCTAAAAATCAGATCTACTTTAAATAATTCTCAAAGAAATGACCTATTGGTTGGGCGCAGTCACTTATGCTTGCCTTCACCTTGCAAGTAACACACTCAGATGGTATATTTATTCGTATGCACCACTTTTCATTCCTAGCAAGAATGTGCTTTGTGGCTTGGAATGACAGTATGGAGGTAGTGTCAGATTGCTGTTATGTTTCTTTGGCTGCAGATTCTCCTTGCATTCCAGGGTTGAAAGTACGGAGCTCTTTCTTTTTCTAAAAAACAAGACATTGTGGAATGAGACCACTGGTATGTTGTTTTTCAGGGAGAGCTTGAATGTTTCAGCTTTCCACTTGTTCCCTGAGATATAGATTTGAAGAATTATAACCTAAAGCAAAGACTTTCAAAATTGTAGTTTATAAATCGTAAAGTCACCTTTTCACCCCTTAGAAGAAGTTGTTAGTCTCTGCTAGGAGTTGTTAGTGACAGTTCAAGGCCTCTCACAGATACCACACCTCATCATGGATGTTAAGCGTACTTTTTGGGGGCTCCATTGAGGGTGTAACTTCTTATTTTTTATGTAATTGTAAACACTAACTAACTCACAATTTGTTTCCCAGAACCACTCTCATAGGGTGCTTTTACAGAACAGCGAACAGCTAAGGGCTGTAGGCAAATGTGTAGACATGCTACCCACTCTTCTAGGGTGTTTCTTTGTATCACACCTTTTGATTTTATTCAGCTTGCTTTGAGTTTCCTGGCAGCTCAGTTTGCCAAGGAGACTCTTAGTTACGGAGCACGTTGAAGGTTGCCCAGGCTCTGGAGGGTATGTCTCTGTCTCCAAGAACAAGCTCTTCCTGTAGCCTGAACCATCTTAGAGAGGCGGGGTCCGTGTGTGTTTGGGAGGTGGGGAGTACAGTCTTTAGTAGCCAGTTTTTCTGACCATTTTTGTCACTTTTATGCACTAGTGACTTGGTTCTTTGCTCTCTCAGGTAAATATGCCGAGGACATTTTTGGAGAGCTCTTTACTCAGGCAAATACTTTTGCCTCTCGGGTAAGCTCCCTTGCTGAGAGGGTCGACCGCCTACAAGTTAAAGTCACTCAGCTGGACCCCAAGGAAGAAGAAGGTGAGGAAGCTGAGCTCAGCATTTGCAGCTCTGCTGAGCAGTCGCTTAGAATTTCTTCCCCTGACTTATAAAAAGTGAGGGGGGGTCACAGAGACCTGTGGGGGTCTTCTTTGAAATGATACAAACCTGGGTGATGGGAAGAAACCATTTCATCTCTACCACACCTCCACACACTCCCTTCCTCCAGTTTCCCCAATTCTCTTTTTCTCAAATTCCCCTTCCCCCCAGTCATGTTTTGCTACCATAAAAGTACTTGGAAGATTCGATCCTCCTAAGGAGGGGCCTGCTAGATCTGGCCACATAGTAAACCTTTGTGTTGCCTCATTTTGTTCAGTCATGAAATGGCTGGGCTGCTGACAGCCTTGTGGGGCTTCCCCAGAGGGGGAGAAGGAAAAAAAAAAAAACCTGGCTGCAGACAGCCGCAGCCAAGAAATGCAGCAGCTGAGGCCTCTCCGGCTGGTGTGACTCAGTGTTTGCTCAGATAGCCTGTCGTCCATTTTCTAATGCCTTCCATCTTCTTTCAGTATCACTACAAGGAATCAACACCCGAAAGGCCTTCAGAAGCTCTACTGTTCAAGACCAGAAGCTCTTTGACAGAAACTCTCTCCCCATACCTGTTTTGGAAACATACAACACCTGTGATACTCCTCCACCTCTCAACAATCTTACCCCTTACAGGTAACCTGGCTAGCTTCTCCCCTCTTCAGCCTGTGGCTAACAACACTAGATTGTCTTTTTAAAGATGTATACGTCAGAGGATTGTATCAAAAAGTGTACTACCTACGCCAGAGTTGCTTGTGGTGGAAGAAGCTAACATTTACACATATAAATAGGTGTCACTTATTGCTGTTTGGTTTCTGAAACTCATGTATAATATGAGTGAATATAATATATAATATTGAAAGTTTGCTATAGCATTTATGCTGCAGAGTTTAATTTGGTATAAGCCAGGTCCATCTTGGACTCCATCCAAGGAATTTAGTTATTATAGAACCAAAAGGACTTTGTTACAAGGCAGTCCTATAGCTTGCATCCCAGGGGCAACATTTTAGCAAGGCTCCCACTTACTCTGAAACCGCTAGATTACCAGATGTTTGGGCGTGTTAGTGGGGCCAGCCTTGTGGACTGGCTTCTCTGGGCCCTGAGGGTCCTTCCAGAGCCTAAGGAGTAATTGGCATTCTTCCCAATGAGTGTCGTTCACTTTGTTTTGAACATCCTTTCAACATTCCCCTGTGAAAGGCCCTACGGTGCTATGGCTGGACTTGAAAAAGGTAGCATTATAGACAGCTTAAAGCCCCTCCCCTCTAGTGGTCTGGTCTGGTAGTGTTATCGTGCAAAAAAACTTCCAAGCAGGGACAGAAAGCGAATATTTATCTTGGGCGCATCCATAAATATCTTTGGAACAGGTAAAAGTAATTACAGATAGCTGGAGGCAGATGTCTTCTGTGAGACATGGGTGCACTGCAAAGTAGAATGTGTGTGTGTGTGTGAAATTCAAGGACACCCACCTGATCCAGAGAGCCAGAATAGGAACATGGCCACTTCTCACACAGATGCAGAGAAAGCGCGTGGTACCTCTCCTTTGTTATTACCATGTGAAATTATGTCTGCCCCTTGGCTCTCAAAGGGGTCAGCTAACATAGCAGGGCAGAGATCTGACTCTTGAGCCTCCATCCTTGAGTCTGGTTGGATCTGGGCAGAGGGTTTGTAAGAGAGGACGGGATTACACGCTTGATAATATCTAACGGAGTATGGTAAGACGAGTATATTTTTCAGCTAATGTAGGGTATGTTCCTTTTTAACATTCTCTTCTCAGTATTCTGGATTTAGCCTAACAGAAACGAGTGATGTGGCTAACTCAGAACAAGATTTAATATAAAAATCATTAGTGCTTGATTGGAACTGGTTTCTGTGTATTGTGATAGGATTGGAGGTCAGAAAAGAATCACCTTTCCAATTCGTTTTAGTTCAGAATAGTGTTAACTATCCATCCCTAAATGCATGCTTTCTGAAAAGTGGGAGAGTCTTAGCTATGCCAAAGTGCAGGATTCCAGCCAGGGTCGTTGAATCTGGCGGATGACCCTTACACTGACACTCATCAGCTCACCCTGTTCTGTCACAGCCACTAAGAGATGGTAATTAAATCTTGTGGTCATAAACAGCTGGCGTCTTTTCTCACTGGGGCCCCCTTGTGGTTGGGGGATGGGGGGTGGATGCTGAGCGCCTCCAGTAGGTGAGATGCTGTGGTTGCTTGTATTTACAGAGGAATGATGACAGCTGCACGCATAATACACATTCATGTGTGTATATACATGCATCTGTACACATGTGAAGCTGTGCATGTGTACACAGGTTTTGGGTGGGTGGAAGGCCATTAATGCTTGCTGGAGAGTCCTGGGCAGTTGATGGTGATAGGGGAGCCAGTGGCAGAAATCCCATCTGATGTCCCAAGATATCAGAATGTCCTCAGGGAGATGTCTGCGGCCCTGGAGATCATTAGACATAATCAGGATCCCTGCTGCTGTAACCCGTTCTTGCCCTCACCATGCAGATTCCTCCACCAGGAATTGAAAGTAACGCTACAGTTCTTAAAAAGCTAGATAATGAAGAGGTGCCATGCCATTCGGGGGCTTTGGAATGCTGGTATAGAGGAGGAAATATGCAGTCGATTTGAATGACTTCTTGATTCCTCAGTGTAAAAACTGCTAACTGGTAGGTGTTTGGAATATTGGATTTGGTTGGGAGCTCATCTGTCTACTGACAGCTACTTGTCTTCATTTCTATCCCAGGGACGATGGGAAAGAGGCACTCAAATTCTACACAGACCCTTCGTACTTCTTTGATCTTTGGAAGGAGAAGATGCTGCAGGACACCAAGGATATCATGAAAGAGAAGAGAAAACATAGGGTGAGGGGAAAGGGGCTTCTGTTCTACACATCAGTAGGCATGATTGTGGAGGGGGGATAAAAGGAAGCCAGTCTTATGTGAAGTAATCATTCTGAGTGGCTGCTTGCTTGGATGCCAGGTGAGACTCTTAAAAAAATGTGTCCACTCCGAGCACAACCAAGATGAAAGTATAAATCACACCAAAAATGTGTTTGTTCCCCCCAGTGCTATTAACAATTGAGTATATTCAGGCTGAGTTTTAGAAATTGACTTTTCTATTCACCATTTATTTCTCTTGCAATTTGCACCTGACTCTGCTGGACACTTGAGCTAGGCTAGTCCCTTCTGCGCCAGCTCTGCAGCTCATTTCTCAGAGATCAGCACATGGCTCTATAGTGTTTGATTTGCAACAGGAGCGGTTTAACACCTTGACTACTGGTTGGGCAGGTGGGGCAGGGGTGGGGGCATAGGCCTAGTTTTGGTACAGATGCTCCCCTTCCCTTAGACTCCCAGTGATGTGTGTAAGCATATGACCTAGCAGTTGCAACCTCACAATCCCATTAGCATGGCTGCTGGGAGGCCTAAGAGAGCACCAGGGGCTAGTGCAACTGCACAAGCTGAAGAATCCATCAGTTGTTTGGGTTTGTTTTTTAACTATTTCCTTATATCTGTCCCAGATATCTTTGGCTGTCATTATTTCTCTTCTCTCTTGACTGACCTTTGTGGCACAACGAATAATAAATAACTATTTATTAACTTCCTAACAGTTAGAGTTGCTCAAAAACATGAATGAATTACCCAAAAAGGTGGTGGATTTCCATTGCTACAGGTATTTGAGTATGGGATTGAAGAAATGTGTTTGAGCCCAGGAGGTGATTTGGATTAGATGACCTCTAGGTCACTCTAAACCCAGCAATTTTGTAAATTCTGTGGTTACTGTGTGTTGTCTAGGCAGATTATCTCTAGGGTGTATATCCATGAAGGTGGGTGGAATTTTAATGAAGAACTTTGGGAAATGTTTATTAAGCTTTTCTGTTTCTTTTCATTATAGAAAGAAAAGAAAGATAATCCAAATCGAGGAAATGTAAACCCACGTAAAATCAAGACACGTAAGGAAGAGTGGGAGAAAATGAAGATGGGTCAAGAATTTGTGGAATCCAAAGAAAAGCCTTCTCGGTAGGTGCTGCTTTTGTCCTCTTGGTAGCATTCTTTGAAGGGTTTGGGCAACTGGGGGCAGCATTCTGACAGCTCTGGTGTGACACCTTTTGTACCCCCGAAGTCTGGCTGTGTGGGTTAAATCAATACCACTGCTAATCAGCTACTTTAAAGTACCACCATCTGGTGATTAAAATTTGCTAAAAAAAAAAAAAATTTAGAGGCTCAGCAGTTTAAATAAGGTGACCAGAGTGGTCTGGAAAATAAAGCCCATGGCTTCTAGTGCCCTTACGATGTCTGAGAGCCTCAAAGGAAAGACTGGAAAGGGAAGAAAAGTGATCTTAGGAGTCCTTTGCCTCTAGAACATTGATTCTAAGGTCATGACTAAGAACTGGCCATTTCATGGGAGTGGGGAAGGCCAGGCAGAGAATTTGTGCACATTACCAAAGCAACTTTTCAGTCAGCCTTTGTCAGTCTTGGGAGAGAGGCTGGCCAAGGGACTGAAAGCAGACCTCAGAGACAGTGTGGGAAAGGTCGTGTGGCCAGTACTGACGCTATATATCTCTGTAGAGAAATAGTAGATGTCAGTCTGACCCCATTTCCCAATACCAAATCACACTAGAGGTTTAAAAAGGGGGAAAAATGGTTTTAAAGCTTGGTTTGATGCTTATCCTGGTGTCCGACCTGTGTGACATTCAAAGCCAAGTCACCGAGATTGCTTGGCATAAATGTCGCCCTGGTTTTTCCCCTAAATACCTTGCATCCTGGCTGTTGGAGAACCATGCCAGCCCATGCCGGGTGTCTAGGAATGATAAAAGGAAAGAGTAGAGTTGTTCTTGCTTTTAGGAATAATTCTACCATGAAATTCTTGACTTTTAGAAATCTTGACACTTCTGACACTTGTTCTTCCTAGATTAAGAGATTTGTTTTAAAGAGTGATGAAGATGGTGAGAGGAAAAAAATGAACCTTTCTACAGGGAAATCCGCCCTGAGGGTACTTCCATTACCTTCACCTCCCAATAAAAAGGGGCCATTTTGTTCCATGATCTCATCCTGTTCAGGCAGGCCCTTGTCGTAGGAAGGCTCAGTGACTCTTAAGACCAGCAGCTTGTGTGTTCAGAATGCCAACCAGCTATTACGGGTGTGTGTGTGTCTGTGTGTGTGTGGTGATTCTGTTGTCCGAGAGGTTTGGGATCAGGCTGCAAGGCTGTTCTACCTGGACGTGCTTGTTGGTGAACCTGTGAAGAGATGTGCCAGGTCTACAGGGCTGCAGGCCTTGGGGATCTTCTACGTCCGAGCATCGTTTGATTTAGTTAGTTTCCTCCAGCTCTGTTCTCCCTGGGGTCTGCTTTAGGTGAGTTCCTCACCAGCCAGCTGTGGTGGGAAGGAGGGCAGCTGGAGGGAAGCGGCCACACTTGGTTAGCTGCTGCCTGGTGTATTCCTGCTTGCCTGGAAGCTTGTTGCTGTTCACCCAGAGCGAATTCCCCCGGCCCAGCGCTGTGAGGGACAGGGGTGCATGAGGCCAGCCCTCACACCCCACTTGAATCAGCCCCTTGGTTTGTGAGATAAGAGACCACATCCAGCTACCACATAGTGACTTGCATTTATCCTCAGCTTAGTTTTGCAGTCAGATGCCTCCTTGGCCTCTGAGCACTCCAGAGGCTTGCCGACCTCAAAACCAGGCTGTGTGCCAGTCACGTGTTTGCAGCTCACTAGCCTTGGGGCCTGGCTTTGCCCTTTGCCGCAAGACAGACTTTGGGATTTGGGTCTGGGCTGCTCCTAACATTTGGGAGAGAATTTCAAAGAACTGCTGGGTGTGACAAGGCCAGCACTAGGAAAGGAACAGCATGATTTTGATAAGCTAGGTTGAGTCCCATTTTTGCAGACAATCCAACAGAAATATCTGGGAGAGGGGAGGGATGGATTGGGAGATTGAGATTGACGTGTAGGCACTAGTATGTATGAAACAGATAACCAGCAGGGGTCTGCTGTGTAACATGGGGAGTTCTGCTCGGCACTCTGTGACGATGAGTGGGGGGTGTGTGACCGATTCACTTTGCTGTGCGCCTGATACTAACACAACGCTGTAAATCTATACTCTGTTAAATTAAAAAAAAAAATAAAATAATTACAACTACAGCAACTTGGGGGTGTAGAAATATCTGGGAGATACTTAGCAATAGAATATTTAGTCCTCAAATAAAATTTCAGTACAGCAAAAACTATATGGGAGATATACTAATTTTATTTCTCCCTAATAGCTTTTGTATCAAATGCATTTTTGTGGGCTCTTTTAAGAAAGCGAGAGAGTATCACTCAGGCTTTAAATAACAATTTTGGCATTGGGTTCATTATCAGGTATCCACCCACTTTGGTGTACCAGAATGGCAGCATTGGCTCTGTTGAGAACGTGGATGCAGGCAGCTACCCACCACCTCCACAGTCAGACTCCATTTCTCCACCTTCTCCTTCTTTCGCAGAGGACAACTTGCCTCCCCCACCAGCAGAATTCAGGTAAACAGTGGTACCTCTTCTATTTACTCTGGGTGGTTAAACACTCAAGAACAAAGTAAAAGTTCCAAATCCAGGCCAAGACCACTAAAGTAACTCCAGACAAGTGAGTCGGGATAATAGAAATAATTGATATTTATTGTCTGTAAGGTACCAGGCATTATGCCAAACACTATATATGTTACTTAACCTCCACAAGAGTCCTCTTGAGATAGGTGCCCATTTTACAGATGAGTAAACAGTGAAGCACAGAGGTCAGTGAACTTAACCTAAGATCACACTGCCAGTAAGAAGCAGATTCATGATTGGAAAGCAGGCCAGTTTGACTCCGGAGCCTGTGTTCTCAACTACTGGTTACACCTGAGCAGAGAGAGGTCACTAGCTTCTTTCTTGTTTTTTTGCTTAGCTCTGACTCAGCATGAAATAAAGTGGTATAATCTGCTGCTGTCCATAAAATAGTGAATAGCCTTTCTCCCCAGTTGTCAAAGAACCTAGCAAGTAGTCACCTTTTTCTCCTGTTGCCTCTGCTCCATTTCACTGTGGCTAGAATCTCCGGAAAGAATGAAACAAGGGAGAAAGAGATGAGACTTAGGATCTGACCATTTTGATATGTGTCAGTGTCCCTGGCAGAGGTGTATACAGGAAGAGTTAGTGTGTGATGGCTGGAAAGGGGAGGGATCTGAGGAGTGTTAGATTTCAGTGTTTCCTGAGGAAAAATAGTTGCTTTTCTTTCTGATGCCTAACAAGTGAGAGCTTTGAAAGGTACTTGTCTCCTTGGACACTGTTTATCAGAGAGTGGATGTTAAGGACCCTTCCAATGGAGACCTATAGCTGTGCTGTCACCCCCACCCTCTGCCCCATTCCTGGTGTCCGAAACCATTAATCCCAAATCTCCTTCTGCCTCCCAAATCACTTCCTGCTGGTTGCCGTGTCTGATGCAGTAAGGCTCCAAGATCTGTGGAAAATTCCAAGATGGATGCTTTCCTAAGGAGTAGCTAGCTATTAGTGTAGGGCAGACACAAAGGTGGAAAAGGGGCCCTTCAGCCTCATACGTGGCTTGAGACCTTGCTGCCGCAGGCGAGCAGGCCTGACCCAGGAGAGGTGAGCCTTAATGCTCCCTCAACTTGGGTCAAGTCTGGCGGCACATTCATTTCCCGTCTCTGCTGACCCTCAGGCCCTCGTTCTCTCTCAAGTTTTTCCACAGGAGCACTGAAGGTGTATTCACCTCAATCTGTACCCCGCTCAGGTTTGCCTAGCTTGGCTTGGGTTTCCTGCCCTCACAAGATCTGGTGAATGTTAATAGCCTATGGAATGGAGCCTGGTGGGTGGTAGTGTTTGAATTTTTATTTCGGTTCGTTCTTACATGGCTTATTAGTCCTGGCTGTAGGATTGAGCTGACCCTTCTTCTTAGAGGAGGACTCAGGAGGGTGCCTTCCCTTGCAGAGCTGAAAGGTTTGAGGGGGACCTAAGAGATGGTCTTGGCCAGCCTTACCTGTTAGAGAACTCCTAAGTCCACTTTTTTTCAGGCAGTATTTCTCAATTTCTGCTTCTACTCCTCTGCTGATGGGAAGCTCATTATCTTACAAAACTGCCCATTGCAAGGCTGGGGATTTCTAACCATCCCCAGGTTGTTCTTTCTGTTTGAGCCAAAATGAAATGATAGTGTCAACCAGAATGAACCTAGGGTAATTAGATAAGCTTAACATAAAAGTGGGTGTTTGCATCCTGAGAGTGATCATGGGTCTTTTTTCTTTGTCCTTTTAGCTACCCAGCAGACAACAACCAAAGAGGGTCTGGCGTAGCTGGACTCAAAAGGTCCAGTGTGGTCAGCCCAAGCCACCCACCACCAGCTCCTCCTCTGGGCTCTCCGCCAGGCCCCAAACCCGGCTTTGCTCCACCACCTGCCCCTCCGCCTCCACCTCCAATGATAAACACTCCACCCCCACCACCGCCTGGAGGATTTGGGTCTCCAGCGACCCCGCCACCACCTTCACCCCCATCTTTCCCGCCTCACCCCGATTTTGCTGCACCTCCACCTCCTCCCCCACCGCCGGCAGTTGACTACTCGGCTCTGCCACCACCTCCCTTGTCCCAGCCAGCAGGAGGCGCACCTCCGCCCCCGCCCCCACCCCCTCCTCCAGGGCCCCCTCCGCCCCCTTTCAGTGGTGCAGATGGCCAGCCGGCTGCACCTCCTCCGCCACTTTCCGACACCACCAAGCCCAAGTCCTCCTTGCCTCCTGTGAGTGATGCCCGCAGCGACTTGCTTTCAGCCATCCGTCAAGGTAACCCCCCAGTGGTGGGTCCAGGATCATGACGCCTTGTCTGGGCAGCTGGGATGAATGACTGGAGGGCGGATGGGGGGTTCTGTGCCCTTCCAGGGGAATGACTTTTGTTGGGTGGAGAGAGATCAGGACTTCAGACCTCAGATCAGTCTGAAGAAAGGCTCCACTCCAAGAATGCAGAGGTTTGTATTTCTTTCCACCTTGGTTTAAAGTAAAGGCTTCTTAACCTAGGATCTTTGAACTCCTTGGGAATTTATGCTTTGTGTGTTCTTGCGTTCATTCTGTGCCCCAGAGAAAACCAAGAATCACTGTCTTGGAAGGTCCTTCCTCGTCTGGACTCAGGCACTCCCTGTCCTTCACTTTTTTGCCTTTCCTATCCTTCTCTGCTCCTCTCTCCCGCCTTCCCACCTCCTTCCTTCCTCCCTTTTTCTCCTGTCTCCATGTCTCCTTCCTTTCACCCTGCCTTCCTCCCCTCCCTCATCATCACCTTCCCATCGTGGAGCATTTATTCTCTGTCAGAGGCTGGTTCTGGTCCCAGGAGGCTAGAGTGGTTTCTTCTGTTTGATCCTCCGTGAACTGAAGGGTTGTCTAGAGGAGACAACCTCAGGCAGCTCAACTCCATGAAAATCGCTGACTTTGGCAGACTGAGTGCCTGCTGGATGTGGCATGGCAGCCACTCCTCACTCAAAACCTTGTGGAAGTACCATCCTCACCAGCCAGAGCGCGTGGGAGCCTGAAAGAATGGCAGGCTCCCTTCAGATGCACTTGCGCACTGGGGCCACGGTGTTATAAAGCCTGTCTGACTTCTCATCGGCTTCCCCCTTTCCTCTTTGCTCTCCTCCAGCATCCTTCTTTTTAGCTGTCCTTTCTAGTACCCACCACCACCAGGGGCCACTCCCTCTTCCTCAGTCCTGGATGGATTCAGAGACTGACTCACCTTCTTAACCCTTCTCTCTCTTCCCCACCAGGCTTTCAGCTGCGCAGAGTTGAGGAGCAGCGGGAACAAGAGAAGCGGGATGTTGTGGGCAACGACGTGGCCACCATCCTGTCGCGTCGCATTGCTGTGGAGTACAGCGACTCGGAAGATGACTCCTCTGAGTTTGATGAAGATGAATGGTCGGATTAACTCTTCTGCCTGCCACCTACTTCCTTTTTCTTTCTTTCCTGCCTGCCTTTTTTGATGCCTACCCCAACAGTCCCAAGGGGAAGAAAAGGGAGGAAAAAAAGAATTTCAAGGGGCCAGAGCCTTCCCTGAAGCAACCAAAGATATATCCCAAGTGCTTCCTCCAAATCACCATGTATTTCCTGTCTCCCCGAGGTCAGGCCCCATGGGGCTGCTGAGGTTCAGTAGCTGGGATGTTCCCTGTTCCCTTCAAGTGATAGTTGCTCACTGAAAGAAGGGAAGACCCCAAAGCACATCCCTTTGATTGGGTTTAAATTGGAGTTGGTGCCTTCCCCCAGGAGCCATTTTCTGTAGTCTTCCAGAATCCTTGCCCTCAGCTGCTTTGAATAGTGCCAGCCATCTTCTGGTCCTGAAGCCTGCTGGCCCCTTTCCCGTGCACTGAGAGGGCGGAGCAGCCTCAGGCCCAGTGCCTCACCCCTCTGTCCTCATAGGCAGGGTGAGGCTGCCTTTTTCTAAGCCATCTCTGCGCCTAGATGCCCTTTATTCCAGGAGCCATCAAGCCCATAAAGAAATGTCGCACCCCTCTCTGCTCAGAAACAGTGCCTTTTTGAAGGCAGGGGTGGTTGCCTCCCTCCCAGGCTCCCTTCCCTGAATGTGTTGTTCCCGTGTCCCTTAAATACCCCTCCCTTGCCACCAGGTGCCTCTCAGCACCGCAGCCCGGTTCTAACTTCTAGAACCCATGACCAAACTAGCCCTGACACCCAGGGATCTGAGCCTCTGCCATGGTCAGGAGCTGAGCAGAGACTCGGAGCTGCAGGACTGGAAGAAGGTGGAAGTCTTTGGGTTGAATGACACTGAAGCCTGGAGATGGGAGGTGACTTGCTCACAGTCACACCATTGGATGGGGACAGAGCTCAAGCCCGGAGTTCCTGATTCTGATTCCCTGTGCTTTATGGGACCAAATCGTGGGCACTTGCTAAATTCTGGGCTCTGTGCTGCTCCAGACCTCCCCGTAGAGGGGAGTCCCAGGAAAAGGGCGCAGGGCCTGCGCCAGGCCTGTCAGTGCTGCTCAGACCCTCGTGGCCGCTCTTGTCGTTGTTTGCTCCCCCTTTGCCGTCACCAGCCCGGCACCTGGCCTTGAGACCTGCCCTTTCGGGAGACCAGAGGTAGTGAGAGGAGGGAGAGGGTAGGCAGTGTGACAGGCGCTGCTTTCAGTTCCTCTACATCTCCCCCCCCCACCGCCGTTTGTTTCCCCAGTTTAAGCATAGGTCCTGCCAACTGTAGAAACTTCAGTCCCTCAGGCTGGCAGCTGCTGCAGGTAGCTGCCTGGGGAGGTGGTGTGGGGAGGCCTGGCAGCCATGAGGAAGGCTGAGAGGCAGGACGACTCTGGGTCCTGTTTCCAGCTCCCCTCCTCACTGCACCGTGATGTTCCCTCCCTCCCTCCTCCCTTTCTCCCCAAGCTAATACACAGGTGCTATTCTTGAGGAAAAAAACTGGTCAGCTTTGGCCAGCAATGAGGTTTCTTCTCTTCTGTTGTGTAGCCTCTTAGGCTGAAACCGGCTTTTCCTGGCTTCCCCAGCTCTCCGAGCCCTGAAACAAAGACAAACAGGATCTGTCTCCCCCCCAGCACAGCACATGGTTCTAGTAATTGCCAAAGCCCTCATCAGCCCCTCCAGCTTGAGGAGAGTGTGCAGTCATGGGGACGGAGCCATTAAGAGGCCAGCGTGCCCGCCTGTCTCCCCAGACAGGGCGTCTCGGGCGCCGGGCGGGCACCAGGCTCCGGTGCTGAGAGAGCCAGACACTGTGCGCCCCTGCCGTGCCTCCCACCGTGCGCTCCGGAAGCTGAAGGTGCTTTCTTCAGAACTCTAAAATGGCTATTGAAGGTGCCCCCCAGCTGTCACCCAGCAGTGACCAGAGCAGCAGGCAGAGGGCAGCGGTTCTCCCAAATAGGAGTCCTGGGGCCTGGCCAGGCCAGGCCAGGGTTTGGGCCTAATGGCTTTGACTGAATTACCCCCATCCCCCTCCTTTCCGGAAAAGGGGGAGCCAGCACTGCCCGTATCATCCTGCTCTGACCTTGAAGGGGGCGGTGTTGGCCTGGCTTCTGGAATGGACAGAGCCTGCCGTGGAAGAGGGCTGGGGGCAGGAGGAGGTGGGGAGGGGCACTGCCTGAGGAAGGTAGGATTAGATCATTAGCTCAGTGACCTCCTAGGGTTTCGATGTGCTGTGTTCTCATCCTACAGCTGGTTTGGTAATGATCTGCAAGTCCCGGAGAGCAACAGCACAGCTCTGCCTGACGCTCTCATTAAAATCTATGCAGCCAAGCTCGGCGCTTTGTAGCAGCCGGCCTTGCGAAGCCTCCTCAGCTCGGGGGGCTGGGGACCCAGTCAGCCGAGAGGCCCTCTGGGCTCTACCTTATGCATATGTGCACACACACAAAAAAGCTTCTTTAAACCCAGAGCCCTTTAAGATGATAAAGGACCCTGTGCAGGTAATTGTGTGTCTTTGGAATCCTGTAATTGTAGAAAGCCAAGTTTAGTGATTATTTAAACTGGACTGAGGCTGGTGAGGGTGTGGAGCAATGGCCCCTAAGGACTCTGAAGGCTGAAGGCAAGGAGCTGCCTCCCTTCCCTGTTCTGCCCAGCCCAGGGGACCTGCCCCCATTCCTGTGGCCCAGGGGCCCAGCTTCCAGTCGGCAGTGTCAGAAGTGACTTGTGGCTCTGCCTTGGTTGTGAGTTGAGTACATTCCAAAGGAGCAGCCACGGGGAGGGGGCAGGCTCAGCGATCCCTTGGAGGCTCAGAGCAGCTGGCCCGAGCTCCAGCTCGCCTCCAACGGAAGCTCGCGCGCCCCTCAGAAACGACCCTGGCCAATGTCACCGCAGAGCCGAGGCGGTGTTGTCAGGGCTAATGTGAAATCTCTTCCCGTGGCGCCGATCCTCCGGCTCTGCAGCGCCAGCTCGGACAGATTGAGGTCTCTGTGGCTTTGGTGACCCTGCTTAAGCATTCCCTCCGTGTTCCAGCTCTGCTCTCTGCCTGCTTCCCACTGCAACCCCTCCTCACCTGTCTTGGGGAGGGGGGCAGTGCCCCAAGGCTAGGGGCTTTTGCTCAGGAGAGATGTCAGGCTTTGAGCTCTACCGGGGTCCAGCTCACCTGGGATACCAGGTGTTGCCCAGAGATGCACCTCATCCCGTGCCTCAGGAAGGGCTAGGGAGCAATTTTGTTATTGTATTAACTTTACTCAGTTAACTCACTTGAGAAACTAACCAATTTTTACTTTCTGTCTAGAATGATGTATGTGTAGGAGAGTGAGCTGTAATGCTCCCAAAGTGCCTTGTTTTCTCTGATATAAATATATTTATAAGGACCTGGTCCCGTGGATTATTCTTGGGTGTGTTTGCCACATGAAGATATTAGGGACTGGGCTTGTATGTCATGGGGTACAGTCTGAAGATGGGGCCCCTTCCCCTGAAGATGGGACAGGAGCTGCAACTGAGATCTGAGCAGTGGGGCTGAGCCAAACCCCTAAAGTGACCCTGTCCTCTTCACCCTGCTCCTCTCGGGTCCTTAGAAGAGAGGGACATCCAGTTTTTCAAAGTCCTGTGCCTCCAAGCCTGGTCTCACCTGAGTCCCTGCCAGGTTCATGTGTGTAGCACGTTAGCACCCCAAGTGACCTGAAGATTCTATGTAAATGTTATATGTATACTTGCGAATACATAAATGCCAACATTTTAAATAATTTGATGAAAGTCTTTGTAACCATGCAGCCACCTCTGGGGTTTGTGTGTGTGTGTGTGTGCACGTGCACTTGTATATATGTAATGGGAGAAGCAGGTCCAAGGGGCAACGTTGATAGCCACAGGTGGTAGCCAGAGCTCCGGAGGGAGGTCGGTGTGGGTGGGCTCGGAGGGCGGGGGCCTCTGCCTCTGACTGGTGCGCCCTCTGTGGGAGGTGGGGGTGTTGACTTAGGAGGAGACCGGTCGCGGGATGTGGAGGCCTCAGCTGGCTGAGAGGGGTGTGCTGGGGCCGGGGAGGGTGGGGGGGGGGGTGGTGCCTCACATCAGGCAGGAGAATGCTGATGCTGCCTGCCAGCATCTGGCCGGCATCTTGTCTGCCTCTCAGACCCAAGCAACTTACCTTAAATAGAACGACTTACAATGGAATCCGATAAAAGGGTTAGGCTGCCGCACGCCCCCTCTCCTGCCTGGGAAGGCGACAGGTCTGGGTTTCTCTTCTGACCCTAAAAAAATGACCTACCCAGGAAGCAACGGTTGTTCCGAGCACAGCTGCTGCGGGTAGCTGTCCCCGGGGGTAATTGATGAGCGGACTCCCTGTTCCGAGCCCAGCAGACGGTGTGGGGCGGCCCCGGGAGAGGGGTGGGAGCTGGGTTGGTGACTCGGCTGGTCACGCCTGCTGTTTTGAGAGAGTCACCCACTGGCATCCCAGGAGAGGGGGCAGAAGTTTTGAATCGTCAGCAAGTGCTGCGCCAGCCACTCTGAGCTCATCGCTGGGGGTGGGGGTGCAGGGGAGGGGGCGCGGGAGCCGGCTGGCCCCGGCGGAGCCCCTCGCCCCACCCTCCTGCTCAGGCCTGTGTTTAGTCAGCACTTGGCTTCCCGAGGCCGGTGACTGACAGGCAGCCAGACGCCCGCCCTGGGAGAAGACAAAATGGTGGTGTCGGGAGCCGCCCTTGCTGGAGAATTGGAGGGAAGGAATGTGGTTCTGGGCAGCTGGAAGCCTGACTTAAATTCCGGCTCCTCCACTTGGGAGCTTCAGCTCTTTGGGCTAGTCGTGAGAAGAAAGCATTCAACTACTACCTGCCCGAGACTGCCTACACTTTATTTCACCAACCAAGGGTCTCCCACTTGACACTTGAGAAAAAGATTCAGAGAGGATGGGTTGCCTAAGATCGCAGAGCCGACCAAGAGCGGAGCCACAGTTCGCATGTGGGTCTCTTGTGTTCTGCCCACCACGCAACGTAAACCATTTTCAGAATTTCTTCATCGAGGATCATAGTCTTTGGTGTCAGAGGGGGCGTGTTAAAGGTTTTCTGTTAGAGACTGCCCTACCTACCCGCTGGTGCCTAGTTTTATAAGTGATGGTTAATTTTGCTCTTGCTTTGAAATAAGTGAGCTGGACTGGGGGCCCTGCTGTCTTTAGAAGTACCCGGTGCCCTCAACTGCCTGGAACAAAGTGGTCTCCTTGGGTATGGGCTGGGGCTTCCAGCAGACACAACTGCAGTGTATGCACACACCTGTTCAGATGTGGGTGTTTGTGCACACAGACATGGGGACACATGCACACAGAATCCTGTCTGTGCAAACAAGGGCACAGCAGCACAGTTACAGGGTCACAAGCGCAAGCAAACCGCTCCAAGTCCTCAGGAGCCTCCCCTCCTGTGCCGCCTCGGCCGGCTCCTCACTGCCCCCTCCTGGCCGCCTGGTGGCCGGGGCACCCTGGCACCGCTTCCTGTAAGTGCTGCTCTGGGGCGGTGGTCAGCGAGTTCCCTTCTAGGTCAGGAAGCTAGGAGCTGTCTCAGGTGCTCCCCAAAGCCAGCCGTAGCCCCGGGAGAAGTGTCTTGTGAGGGGTCTGAAGCTAGAGGACAAAAAAATAAGCCTTTCACACCCAAAAGGATCTCCCTGGTAGAATGCTTAGTACCATGGTGGCAGGCATTCTGCAGAGACACCCTCCCACTGCAGCAGCAGGCATCCCCGCCCTTACCTGGGGGATTGTGCGTGTTTGCATCTGCTCATGCCCTGCATACGTATTTAAAGAGGAGCAGATTGCCTGGCTGAGAAGTCAGAGGCCAGGTTTTCCAGCTCCCACCTTGCGGCTCCCTCTGGGCCTCAGCTCCCTCCCCTGTTCAATGAGGAGTTGAACAGGATTATGTATTCTGCCCAACACTGACCCCCCACCACAACTCCAGTGTCTCACTGTCTTGGGAACTAGCCTCTCCCAGACGTGTGCCTGAGTTAAGCACATCCATAAAGATGAACCCATGGACACCTCAGGCGATCCTGGAAGGATGGCTAATGCCAAGCTTTTTATTCCTAGTTTACAGGTGAAAAGGCAGACACACAGAGAGGTACAGCAACTTGCCCAGAGTCACACAGCAGGTTGGCAGCAGGCATGGAAGTAGAAAGCCTCTGC